CAGCAACAAACTGTTATTTTCCCTTTATTTTTTTATTTAGCAGTGGAGCAGTATAGGGCCAAATGGGTGCTCCCCACCCTTGATGCAAATACACCAGCGATTCAAATTTCACAAAGGAGGTAAAACCCCTTTGTAAAAAGGGAGAGTGTTCTTCCGAACCGGGGGCAGGAGGTTGGTTGTTCGGTTGGTGGTGGTGGTTTAAGTATAAGAAGATAAATCATTTTTTAGTCCAATGTACATCTCTCCCTGCACCTTCTTTATTTCTCCTCACAACAATCCTGTGAAGTAGGCTAGAATGGGACTCAGCAGCTGGCCCAAGATCGCCCAATTATCTTTACTGGCTGAGTAAGAATCTGAACCTAGTTTTCCCCTCCCATTACTCTCTCCTCTGCACCTAAAGAAACTTTAGAACTGTCAGAGAATTATATAAACTCTGACCAGTTCCCTGGTTCCTTTATCTTCGACAAGGTATACTCATTTTGCAGGGAAGTGAAAAGCCTGAACAAGAAGCTCCTTTTTTCTTTCCCAATTCCAACCATTTGGGAGGTCCAAAAAGTGAGTGGGACAGGATTCCCTGCCTTCTTCAATGCAAGTGCTTTGAAGAAAGGGCTGTGATCCCCAAAGCCCAGAGTCAAACAAAAGGAAAGGCCTCTTTCCTTCAGCATTTTGACAGCAACAGCCTCCTTCTGCCTCAAAGCAGATGCACTTGCAAAAAGTTATGATTAGCTTACTTTTGTGGGCAAACCTGATAATCATGCCTCGGGGGAGAAGGTGGACTGGTAAAATGTCAGAGAGTAATTATGAAACATTATGATACAGTCACACTACACATATAATATACAAAATTGTGAATCTAATATACAGTTTCCAAGAGCTGAGCAGAGCTGTCAAGGACAAAGCATTTTGAAGGGCATTCGTTCATAGACTTATCCTAAGCCGAGATAACTTGATGGCATGTACCAACAACTATACATACCCAATACGCACACATATTTTGATTTAAGGCTGGGCAGGTATCTACCTACCTACCTACCTACCTATCTGGGTTTTTCTAATCCATCCAATCACTACACGTCTCTGGATAGCATACAACAAAGTTCGATAAATACGACATTATAAAAATATCACAGTAACAATCTAAACAATAATAATACTAATAACACTAATAACCCATGACTGGAATAAAAACATTTATTTTTTTTAAATTTAAAATACTGGGTAACTAAAAATGTCTTGACCTGGCGCCGGAAAGCATATGATGTCGGTGCCAGGTGGACCTCTTTGGGGAGCGCATTCCATAGCCGGGGTGCCACCACAGAGAAAGCCCTCCTCCGGGTATTATGTCTCTTAATCTCCTTCAAGGAGGGTTCCTGGAGGGGTTCTGCTACAGATCTTTAGGGGCTTTACTAGAAGCCTGAGAGACACCAACCAGAGTTAGATGCAAAGTGCCAGCCCAGATGGGCAGGGACATGTGAAGGACTAAGGAGCAGGACATGCTCCATCCAGGATTTTGTGTCTGGTAGCAAAACCGGCTCCCCAGTATGACCTGATATGGCTTCTTTTCAGCAATATACTGTAGGGGTCCACGGTTTAATATTGCTCTTGTTAGATAATTGGGAGTCAGAACTCCTTACAAACCAGCCACAAGGCTAGCAGAATATCCTGCTGCACCTTCTCCCTGCCATTATTTTAATGGATTTGTACTGGCTGCAGAAAAGGATTAGAAACTACTCAAGTGTTTCCATGAAGCCACTCAAGCCTGTCCAACTGTGTGTGCAAGTTTCTTGGCGTTGTCCTCCCGTGAATGAAGAGCAATGGCACCAGAAGGCATCCGTACTCATGCACAAGGGGCCGACAGGCTGAACACGTCAAGCCCTGCAACATTTCTTGACTATCTTTCTGCAGAGGGGCTGCATGGTGTGGAGAAAGTGGACAGTGGGGCCTTTTTCTCCCTTTATCATAATACTATAATCCAAATTGGCCATTCCCAAGCTGAAAGATTCAGGACAGATCAAAGCAAGTCCATCTTTGCACAATGCCTAGTTAAATGATGGAATTCACTCCCTCAAGATGTCAGGATGACCATCAATTCAGAGGGGTTTAAAAAAGGACCAGACAAATTCCTGGAGAAGGATAGTGGTGGTTACTAATCTAGAGCAGTACAGCTACGTGTACCAACTGCTGGAGAATTTGGGCAAGGGGGTACTGTCACATGTTCTGCTTGTGGGTTTCTCACAGGCCACTGGTTAGCTGCTGTGTGAAAGAACACCTAGACTAGGTCGACGCTTGGTCTGATCCAGAAGGCGCCTCTTATGTTGCTAGTGGTGGGACACATGCTTTGCATAGCAAAGTTCTGAGGCTGAATTGCTTGCATCTACTGCTAACAGGATCGATCTCTGGAAGGAGACCAAGGGAAAGAGCCGGGTTGCTGAACCAATATGGCTGTTCTTACTACTACTTTGGCCTCTAGAAAGCCATTGTGAATAGATAACACTGGGTTAGGTCCAACCTCTCCAGTCGGGCACCCTCCAGATGCATTGGGCTGTAACTCCCAGAATCCCCCAGGCAGCATTTTTAGCATCCTAGTATCACTGACTAAGAGATTCTGGGAACTGTAGTCCAACACTTCTGGAGGATGCCAGGTCAGAGAATGCTAGATTAAATGGATATTCAGGTACAATGCTTCCCTCTTCACCTTTCTTTCAGCAAAGGAAGTGCCAAGAGGAGGGAGTCTACTCTCGAGGTGATCCTGTGAGGTCCGTGAACTTAACCAGACAGCCACTTGACCAATGTCACTCAAGTGAGTGCCAGAGCTGAGCAGAGACTCAGGTCTCCCACAGGCACCTCCAACAGCTTTGTACTTTATTGCCCTGCAGGCCAGTCAGGAAAAATCAATGGACTAAAAATAAAAGTGCTGGTAAAAGACACACTTCACACCTGGCAGAAATAATAGTCATGTGCCAAGAGACAGACAGGTTGACAGGGGGGAGGGAGCATTCACTGGACACCATTTGAGGGCACAAATATAGATAACGCTTTGCCTGTTTCCGACCCTCCCTGCTCTCCATTCAATCAAGGACAGAAACTATCAACAGCATATGTGACAGTGAAGGAAGGATGCCACAAGAGAGGATTTTGTTTTTCCGAGGCTGCTGCCTTGTTTTCCCCAACACCTGTACTGGGGAAGTGTATCTATGCTGTGACAGTGGTGTTGCTATGGTAATGACTCTTCTCTTCTCTACTTGATGGACAAAAAAAGAAAAATCAAAACCCACCAGAAACCCCACACCACCAACAAACCCGAAAACACTGCAGCAAAATGATAATAAGCACACTGAATGGGAGCTTCTCCTGCACACAACTCTCCTGCAGCTTCCACTCATTCCAATGGGATATTTACGAGAGAAGTTCCAACTGGACTGTGCCTAGACATTTTAACCTTGCAGATCCTTTGCTGACATAAAGCCCCTGAACTGGATATGCTGCTGTTATTATGGATATTATTTAAAAATAAACCTGATGTCCATGTCTTAATTTAGTGCATATTTATACGCATTTAACCCCCACCCCCACCCTAAGACAGCACTGAAACACACTCAATCAAACCAATATGAAGTCATTACATGTAAACCAAAAGCTAATTGACGTCTCAGGGCACGTACATTGCTTTGCATTGCTCAGGTTTGTCTCCAGACTAGTCACCTCTTTAGAAACAGGAAGAGGAAACACAATGCTTTTGTTTAAAGATAAAGTAGCAAAACTTTGCATCTCCCGGGTGCAGTCTGAGCAAACCTCTCTGTATCACTATTCAAATCCCTAAATGAAATAGTTTTGGCAGCGAGTGAAAGGGCAAATTAATTAATAAACTAAAGAAAAAGTGCTATCTTTGTTTTAGGATTCAGCAAACAAACAGAGACTGGGGTTTGTTCCACAAGCTAAACATTTAAGCACAGCAAGGCTGCGGTTCACATAAACAAAGGCAAAGCCATCAATCCGTCCTGTATAAACCTAGTTGGGAGTTAAAGATTTTCCCTGTGCATTGCGCGCGCGCGCGCGCGCGCGCGCACACACACACACACACACACACACACACACACACAGACAAACGTATTTCTGAACTGGCAAAGCAGCTACTCTGCTGCAGAATGTTAGCATGCCCTCAAAAGAACACCTGGCTGCATGCAGGCCTTCTTTTCTACAGCTTAACCAGAAGAATTAACGAATGTCAATCTCTTCAAGTCTCTGATGGAGAATGGCCTCTTCAAGGTGTCAGGACCTCTTACTCTGACCTTGCATCTTGGAAAAGTCCCCTCATGTGCTTCATTTTCAGAATAAATTATCCAACCATCAAAGTTACCCATAAGCAGTTTAAACATATGTCATGCATCCGGGCCTCAATCCAGTATGTTTCTTTTTTTCTCTTTTGCCCTCCTTTGCCTTAGCAGTCATATTTGTAACTGTTCTCAAATTTCTTTCAGGGGAGAAAAATATCACTAAAGGCATCATAAGCTTTTTTGGGGGGCGGAGGGAGTGATGATGGGGCACAGATGGAGTGTAAACAAAATTGTTATTAAAATAACAATACAAATAAGAGATCAGGAATTTGCAAGACCTAATTTGCAGCTGATGCAAATTAGACCAGTGGAGAGGGGCAGAGAAGGAAAATACGATATTCAATACACACACACATTCACACTCCCATCACCACCGGACACAGGTCGGGAAAACCTTTTCTTGCGTTTCTCCCTGCAACGGCCAATAATACAGACCCTCCGCAAAGAAAAGATCTTTGGCAGGACGGGCGTGCAATGCAAACAAGGCGACGAAGAGTGAACTTGTTTGCAAAGTTCACCTCTAGGACATAAGTGATTTCTTCCTACCTATCTCACAGGGCTAGTTTGAAAATGCAGGTGTTTACACTCTGAAAAAGGATTTTTTTTTGGGGGGGGGAAGGCGGGAAACAGTAAGGCTCGGTTCGAAACGTCTTCTTCGTTTGGTAGTGGGTCTCGAAGCAAGGGGGGCTCGGACTGCAGCCGTGCCGAGACCCCAGTGCGTGTTTACTAGGAAGTAAGCCGAAGTTCAGGAGGAACGGTTCCCAAGTAAGCGTGCATAGGCGTGCAAAAGCAAGGTTGCAACTAGTGCTAGCCTCACTTGAGTCCCATTTCTTTCAGTGGGTCTACTTGCAATAGGGCTCACACTGGATCCTAATGTATAACCTCGCCTTTCTACCAAGAGACACACGCAGGCCTATTACTAATATCACTAGCATGATCCTAACTCGCTGAATCCACCAGACGACCTTCGCGATGCACAACGCATCCCGGCTCCTCGCAAGACGCCGAGGCTCCCTTATCCGCGACTCCCTTACCTTGTCAGCAGCCAGCAGGAATCAGCCGCAGCACCAGCAGAAGCAAAAGGATGACCTTGCAGAGGAATCCCTCGCCGGAGCAAGGAGCGAACAGGGTCTGCCCCTCTCGCAAGCCTTGCGCGCAAACAAAAGCGAACTATCCAGTCAAGGACCGAGAAGATGCTCCAGCCAGCCAGCCAGCCAGCCAGCCGCCAAGATCTCCCTCGGCCCTGCCCGGGCAAAACCCGACGCCTCTTCGGACCCCGACAGCAGGCAGCGAGCGACCAGGAGCAGCAGCAAGAGCCACAAGTCGCCCGCGCCGCCGCCGCCGCAGCGGCTCCAGCGTCTCTCCGCGGCGCTAGGCGCTCTCGGGGGCGGCGCAGGTGCCTCCCGGGTGGGGGCGTTCCTCCCCGGGCCAGGCGAGGCGGAGGCCGTGTCGGTGGTTTCCGCCGCCAGCCGCTCCCGGAGCGGGCTGCCTTCGTTCCGAGCCGCTGCCCGCCTGAGTTCGCTCGGCAAAGGGGCCGGCGCGTCGCAGGCACGCACTGCTGGCGGCGAGGAAGCGCCGAGGAGGCCGAGCAGACCTGAAGGTGGGGCGTGAGCCCCACCGGCGGCGGGCGAACAAAGGGCGGGCGTCCGGCCCCCTCCGCTGCCCTGCTCACGGTGTCTGACAAGCCTCTTGCTGCAGGAGCGCGCGCGGTCGCGGAGCGGTGCAAGTTGGGCTCGACCTTGGGGCCAAAGTCCAGGGCCCGAATGGCCTCCCGGAGAGCGGCGGCATATGAGAGCAGCGGCGGAAGCAAACTCCATTTTCTACAGATAAAGATAAAAATAAAATAATCCCTCCAGCGAAGATGGTGCTGAGATTTAAGTGAGCGTAAAATGCAACGCTGCTCATGCTCAGAGTGTTACTACTTTTTTTTTTTTTGCTTTCATTACGGTTGGCAACAGTATGAGTGTTGTCACGTATCAGTTATAAGGCGTGGAATGTGTGTGAGAGAGACAGAGCAATGTGTTTACCATAAGCACAATACAACGTGGTGTAAAAAGAACCCACATAAGACCATTAAATCCAGGGTCTAAAATTTCGTAGCTGCAGCAATCTGTATTTTTGTTTTCCCTGCTTCCCAAAGAGTGCAAATCAAGACCACTTCTTCCTCTTCACTGCAATTAATTCATCCTATTTGGGGAGTCAGATCAGTTGACAAAACCTCTCCAGGATACTAGGGAATGGTCCTGGAATATGCATCCATGAAAAGTGTAGCTGTGTCTCTGTCCACATGCAGAGTGTTTTTCCTCCCTGCCTCCTCCATGTAATGCACATAGCTGGCCTAAACGTGTCTGGATTTGTGAGACATGCCTGGATTTATTGCTTCCATCAATTCAGAATAGGCAGCTTCTGGAGTCAGATGGGAGCCCTGAAGCTTTTTTGAAAAATTAAGTATTTCAGGGAGTTCTGCATTACATAATAATAATGATTAGTAAATTTTATAGTATTGCAATAGCGGTATACCCTGTGGGAAAGTGAAATAACTTTGTAAGACAAATTACTGTGTACATAGCAAAAACTGGAGCACCAAATAATACGTATTATTATTCAGTCAGTGGTTGTGGCATTTACACAAATAAATCTGTAAATTCACTCATTATAACTGCCAACAATGAGAGCAGCAAACTGAATATAGAGGAGGCGGCTGTATGTTATTTTGATTTTAGTTCAAGTGGAGTTTTAGGCGGGGTTCAAGCTGCAACCCTATAGCTACTGGGAGTGAGCACCACTGAATATACAGTTTGAGCACACATATATAGGATTTCTTTCTCCATGAGGTTTTCTGAAGAGGGCATTTCACTCTCACAGCTTCCTGTTTCACCCATTTGAAACTGTTTAGCCCTATCCCACTCCTGTTAAATTGAGATCCATTCTGCCATTCTTATGCCATTAAACTAGTCTTTTTTGTCTCCTTTCATGTGTACATGCCTGGATTTGAGATCATCTTTTGGAGTCCTTTTTCCAGGTACTCCCACCAGGTGAAGTGTGTTGGGTGATTACTGGAAAGTGGATCTTTTAAGTGAAGGGAGTTGGGCCGTGGAATGCTTTCCCCAAAGAAGTTTGTGCAGCACTAGGCAAAACCCGTTTGGTTTTCCTTGGACATTTAAGATTTTTCATATTGTCTTGTGAGTGCAATTCTATGGATGTTTAGTCAGAAAAATATTTATTTATTTTATCAATTTATATCCTGCCTTTTTCCTACAAATGGCTCAAGGCAGCTTACATCTCCTCCTCCAACTTATCCCCACAACAACAACCCTGTGAGGTAGGTTGGGCTGAGAGTTTGTGACTGGCCCAAAGTCACCCAGTTGGCTCCATGGCTGAGCAGGGACTAGAACCCAGATCGTCTGAGTTCCAGTCCCAGGCTCTTCACCACTACACCACACTGGCTCTCCATGTGCCAATACTCTACATGCTGGATGGAAAATGCTGGGACTTGTTTTCTGGATTGTGTTCTTATTGCATTGCATTTATATCCCACATTTTGCTCTTGTGAGGAACCCAAGGTGGCCTACGTTCCGTTATAGCCTCTCAACAGCCCTGTAAAGTGGGTAAGGTTTTGAGTGCGTGACTGGCCCAAAGTTATCCAGTGAGCTTCACATCTGAGTGGGGTCCCCATTCCAACACTCAGACTGCTACACTGCACTAGCTCCTTAAAGTACAATCATATGGAGTTGAGCACAGGCTTCTGATCATGGAGATTTACATTTGTTCAGTGCAGAGACAGTGGAGTGACAGAGGCATTGTTCACCTCTCCATTCCTACTGCTCTGTAATTTCACTAAATGGCATTTCACAGGATGAGGAAGGAAGCTGGAGTAGCAGCAGGAGACTGGTTGCCCCAGTCTCCTTCCTTCCCTGACTCCAAAACTGCCCCTGCTAAGCCCTCTCTATGGTTGCTGGTGTGGTTCATTCCATGCCAGCTGCAATGGGTTGAGGAAAGGGGTTGATGCTGTGGTTCCCAGCTTGGAGGTTGGGAATCTCAATTATCCTATGGCTCCTCAGACAATACCTAGGGGCCAAAGGATGGTTTCCTTAAGTAACAATCCTATGCATGTTTAGGCAGAAAAAAGGCCTAGAACAGAACATGCAGAGTATTGTATCCCTGTGACCTTATTTTTCCATCATTTTATACAATGCTACATATGTCCCTTCTTAGTCACCTTTTTCTAATCTACATAGACTCCAAATTTTAAGTTCACCTTATTTATTTTGTTAGCACTTTGGTATACCATCTTGTAGCCACATGGTACAGGAGTAGTCATGACATAGGTTGCATCATTAGTCTTAAGACTAGTCATAACATTCATTTCAATGGGTTTGCAATTGTTAAGTACAATTAAGAGTGGCTAGAACCTCATAGATTTCTGGAAGGCTATTAGGAAATTGACAGTCCCTAATTATACATAATGAAGAATTCACATTCTGCATACTGGGTTATTTTTCTATTCCCCACAAGCAGGGCTGGTGTGAGGTACTGAAAGAATATGGAGCTCAGAGCCACGGGATGTCAACAACAACACACACACATTCATATATGCTAATTTACATATAATCAAAAATCTGTAAGGGAGACCATAGGGACCATCCTGTGATATTGAAGCTGGGACTCCAAGTTCAAAACCTGTGGAGGGCACCAGCATAGAGGAGTGTGCTGAGCCCTGGAACTAGGGAGCTGACGTAGCAGGAAAGGTGAGCTTTTTGGAAGAAATTTGATGAAAAAGAGGTGGCATCTCTCAGGTGCTCTGGGAGGCAGTTCAAGCATACAGGGAAGACTTTTGAGGGAGAAAGAAAGCCAATGACTACACACAGATGGCAGAGTCAGCCTCAGTGGATTGCAGGAATCTAATCAAAAGCTTACCAAGGCGTGTGTTTTTTCAACTAATGCTGAATAGTTTGCATTCACAATCTAACAGGTCATTACCCCTCCCTGACTGGTTCATCATATCAGATCTGTGACTTCCCTAACTTGCTTCATGTACCTAACAGAGTACCTGTTTGTATTATCTTGGGTGTACTTTTAAATTTGGGTGTACTTTTAAAAATCTACAATGTAAGTTGTCTCAGATATGTTGTCCCTTCTGGCATTGCACGTGTGGCTCTGAATCATGCAGGAAGTCTAAGTTACTTCTCCAACTTTCAAGTTCTTTGACTGTCTCTGAATTATGAAAATGGAAAAGCTATTATGCAGCTTGTGATCAGAAGTCTATTTATATCTCAGCAGCATCCATAAACATCAGCTTCTGTTTATGTAGTTGAGTCTATTCTAGAATTTGGCTAACAGAGATGAATCGAAGTAATATCCATTATGGTAATCTCCCACTGTTTATCCATAAACAGACCAATGACCAACATGCTTTTCCTCTATGATGGTCTTTTGGCACTATTAAAAATAATAGTGTACCTTTGCAATCTAGTTGTAAACTCAGAGGTCTCATTAGCATGTGAACCAGATGAGGTGTGCATCTTTCATCTGACTTTTCTTTTAACCAAAAGTAACCATTTTGAAAGTTAGGGCTTTGAGAGAAAGAATAACAGAAGGATGGGATAAAGAAGTTCCGACATGTGGACCTAAACGTGCTTCCAATAGCCCCCTCAAGACCCTCCTTCTTCCCACGCTTGGTCTGCAGGGAAAGCAGAGAGAAGATTCTCCTTTCGATTTCCTATCACAGACTGAAGATAATGGGTGGATTCTTTTTATTTAGCATACTGTAGCCTTTTGCAATTAGGCTGAAGCACTGGCTGGAAAAGTGCCAACTTGTGCTTCAGACAGGGACTTGAGCACGTTATGGAGCATGGCCAGATCCCCAGTGAATTGGGTGGGCAAGGGCCCCCCAACTCTGATATCATCCTTTTTCCTCCAGCCACTTCCCCCCTCTTAAAGTGGCCTCTCCTGCTTTCCCCCCTGAGAAGAAAGATGCACGTGTACATTTCATTCCATGAGTGGAAAGGCTGTGAGTTGGGGCAATTTCTGAGACCACCCCCCATGGGTTAAGCAGACTTAGCAGTGTGAAAGAAACATGGAGGGGTTTGGGTGGGGTAGGGGGGCATGGTGTGACACAGAGAGGAGAAAGCGTATCCCTCCCACCAGCCACTTCTATTCTGAAACTTCTCCTTTACACATTGAACAAACACGGAATCAGAAACAGACATTTGCTGACATAACACAGCCTAGTATTTCCCAGGTGGATGTGCAGAGGATTGTAGCCTATGCTAAGCAGTTATCATCAGAAGCTTAAAATCTCATTGGCTCTGTGAGACTTATTTTCTGCTACATATCTTTCTCATTTTAATCCTGCAGCCAGTCACATGCTTACTTGTGCATTAATCCCACTGAATTGAATGGGACTGTTTGCCTACCAAATGTATTTAAGATCGTAGTCTGGTAGACCTTGGGAATCCTCATTGACTCCACCTGGAGCCAGACATAAAGTTTTATGCACCCTTTGGAAAGGTTCATACTTTGCAGTGTTCAACGCTCAGTATTTTTGCTGCAGTTGTAACTTGATTCAGAACTGGATCACTTTTTGCACCTGTGGATACAACGGGGCTGCA